ATTTGGCACACGATGAATAACTATACCGAAACGAATCTAGTTTAAGCAAGATTATCATGGCTGTCAAAATCTAATGTTTAAAAATGACAGCATGGTGAAACGTGCAGGTTATTTTTTTCTGCTGCTGAGGAAATAATACAGTGAACGGTTTTTAAACTCCAAAGCCTCAAAACACTGCAATTTATTAAAAACATTTTTTTCAAGCCAATCTCTCTTCAAACCCTGGGTCTTTGCTATTTTTCCTCTCCATTTTATGTAGATAAAGAAGCTCAGCAATTGATTATTTATGAGTCTGAAATCCCTTAGCGATCCTTTTCCGGAGTCTACGTTTATTTCCAGAGCCTCCTAACTACTTGCAAAGTACTGTGTGAATTGATTGCTCCTTACATTTCTGATCATTTCCTACTCTTGGGGTCTCTAAGATTATGGAATAGTTTATGTCTGATCATTTTAACTTCCTGGTGGAATAGGCTTGCTACTTACTTACTACTCTATATCAACAGAACGGAGGCTGTTTGCACGACTCATAGCGTTTTGTTTGTTCTGCTTTGTTTTTTAATGTCTCATTCTGCAACTGAGCTTTCCCAGACTCCTCTTCTTCCTTCTTCCAGAATGTACCTTGTTCCAGAAAAGGGCAATTCATTCCTCCAAGAAGATGTCTCTGATCACACAATTTAAAGATGGAACCCTCTCTCCCCAGCCTTGACAGTGGCTCTCTCAACCTCTCGTTTGTTTCCTTCATAGCACTGATCACAATTTGTGATTTTGAATGACTCATTGTTACTCTTTGGAAGCTGACCTCTCCCAAAACAAGGTAGGTTTTGTAAAAGTAGAGACTCTGTCTCCTCTGCATGCCGCCGCATCCCCTCTGCCTAGCCCCGTGGCTGGTACCTAGCAGGTAAATGCTCAAAAGATATCCACTGAATGAATGGGAGAATCAAAGCGTATACGTTCCTCTACCCTCTGTATCTTTCCCCCTTCTCTGCTTTCTCCCTCTCCTTTCTCTCCCCAACATCCCTTCCTCTCACTTTCCTGGCTGTGCTCTTTCTCTTCCATTTCCTTCCTTCTTCCATTCCAGTCTCTTAATCCCATTCCTCCAACCAGCCAACACCTCTGAAGATCAACTCCAGTTAAGGCACTAACCCTCCCACTGGAATCACTCAATGAAGACAAAGTAGACGTAACCCCTTCTCACAAGGACCCTATGATCTTCATTCTTGAGCTTCGCATCAGAGCTCATGAACTTCTCAGACTCCCAAAACAATGATCTGTTTCCAGTTTTCCAGGACAGTCCTAAAACCAAATAATTGGGCCTGTCCACCCCAAAACACATTCACAACTACCAGCTGCTGGAAGCTTTTGGTGAGGTGAGTATATAGTGTGGTTGCACACCCTGGCAGGATGAGAGCAAGGCCTGACAGGGCCTCTGAAGAGGCCTGTTCCATGGGACTGTGTGTCCTGCTCTCTGTGGCCCCAGCAAACCCTCCCAACTCCCTAGTATCACATTCAACTCATGGACGATCTATGTACATTCCATGCGCCTTTCAGCTCTTCTCTCTCTTCGTGGACAGAGCCCTAGCACTTCTCATCTGGCTGGATGCCCTGCCTTGTCATCTATACTTGGCTGGTTTCATTTCTTCCCCTGGCCACCCCCACTTTTCTAGAAATTGCTCTGAAAGAAGGGACAGACCTCGGTGTTCATGTTTGAGAGAGGAAAATGCCATGTGATCTTGCTCTCCCGGCCCCTGATGACCGGATCAAGGGTGGTCTCCCCATCGAAAGAGAACCAGTTCATAGCTGGGCTGGGAATCAGTGAATAGGTTGGGACAGGCCAACCCCCCATCCCCCTCTCTCTCTTACCTTCAAGAATCCGAATTAAGAAACCTAGACAACCTATCATCACTGGCATGGGCTTGTAAGGTTGTGCTGACTTGGGGTTGGGCCATGTACGAGCAGACATTATTGCTGGACAGATGGAAAGGAATCAGATGGGCATGAAGACAAGCGACACAACATACACCGTGAGGACTCTGAGGGATGAAGAAATGAGCTTTGATCCTGAGCAGCTGCCCAGAGATGGTTCTCATGAGGCCTGGCATGATCTGACCCATGTGTTCATGGGACTGGCACCTGGCCCTTTACTTAGCTGGTCTGAGTTAAGTTGTATTCCCTGCAAACTAAGCGCATGAATCCAAGCATATCTTTCTACACAGGCTTCTCCTTTAACCCTTGTCAAATCTACCCTTTCTACAGAAGTCTGCTCTTGACTCAAATTCACCTGTAAATATGTGAGTTCAGTCTTTCACCCCTTGAAGAAGCTGCCTTGGCTCACCTGCCAGGAAATGTCCTGTGGGATGAGCTACCTGCATGTCCCCCATGGGCTTCAGCTGTCTTCTTGTGAGTCAGTCTAGTACCCAGCACGGCAATTACACACCCACAGGCATTTACTATCTAATTATATAGCAAGAGTTTTAAAACATTTTTAAGCGAATGGCTTTTAAACACATTTTAAAAGCGATGGGATTGGCTACGAGAGGCTCTAATAGTAAAAACATTCTAGATACGGGCTTGGGTTCTGTGTGTATTGCTTCGCCAATGGCAACCCAAAGAATCATAACGATAAGCATGTTTATCTCCTGAGTCATGGCCAATTCTCTCTCTCTCCTTTCCAGGGATAAAAGTGACACACTTTTTTTTTTTTCAAATATAGTTAGTTCTGGTTTATAGAAAATGATCCCAATGAATATAAACAAAGAAAAACCTTTCAATGTGACGGATATCACTGGATTTCAGGTCAAAGAGCTCATGTTTGATAAAGTACCTGGATAAAGTATGCAAGATCAAAGGCAGACCATACAAAGAACAATCCAGGAATTCCCTAATACTCACTGATCCAAAGTTAGGAAGCTCCGTTATTTACTTGCTACTGCTCAGACCCAAGATTCAGAACAACTTCCTAATTATTTTATAATATCCTTGTACTCAGTGGACCTGAGACAGGCAGTGTGACGCCATTAAACTCAGCTGGTTTTCAGCCCTGATTAAAGACAAGGGGCTCGCATCTAAGGGCAGAGCTGCTTGCGACCGTCTTTGAGTGTTATTTACTCACTGATCACGTCCTCAAATAATCTGCAACAGGCTAAGAGGATTTCTGCGGAGGCAACTATGCAAATGTTTTGAATTCCTCAGTTTGGGAATATGGACAGATAGGCTCATGGAAGAGAGTTTAAGCCACACAACACAGAGGAAAAAATGCCATATTTAAAGGGCAGAAATAATGCGGGAGAGAGAGACGCATTTGGGGAAACCTGCCCAGCTCTCTAGAATCCACCCTCCTCTGGGACCTTCCCCTCACCCCCAAATACACGGGGCCGGAGTTGGAGTGGCCTGGGTTTGTGCTCCTGCTCTGGCACTCATTAGCTACACCACAAATTATTTAACTCTCTTTCCCTTGGTACCTTTGTCTATAATACGGGGATTCTATTCTCAGGGTTGTTGCGAGGATTAAATAAGAAAATGCTCAGAAGAGCACCTGACACTCAGTAAATAATCAATGTCAGCCATGATTCCTTAGCTCCACGCTCCTGGCCTAGGGGACCCACACTGCCAACATGTGATTTCTCCCCCAGGAATTTGGAACTGGGATGAAGTTAGTCTTTCCATAAGGCTGGACGTGGAGCATGAAACCTTGGTACTTTGCTTTGAGCACAGAATGAGAACCTTCAAAGAGAGGAATACACAGTCTCACCAGGAGAAGGAAAGTCCAACCTGGGTTCCTCTTCCTTTTGCCTCTCCTGCTTTAGGTCCTGGGCCCAGCCTGCTGGCCTTTCTGCCCTAGGTTTCTACAGGACACCAGTTTGCTTATTAAAAAAAAAGTATCCTTTGTGCTTAGACTAGCTCCAGGGACCTTTTATTTGTAGCCAAGAGTCCTACTCAGTATAACTACACCTAGAAAAAAAGATGAAATCCGCTTTAGAAGAAAAAGGAGGGGCAGACTTTCAAATCCCCGTTGATCCCTGTTGCTATCAAAGTGAAATGGATTAAAACATGCCACAAACGAACAGCCAACACATCCCCTTCATCAAATGAATTAGTATTGGGACTCTTTGCCAGAAATGCACCCCATTCCACATCAATCTGCTCGCTTTCTTTTCCAGGATTTGCTACTTTTTGATCCAAGGGCATGTGAGATTAGGTTCGATTTCAGAGTTTTGTTAAAAAACAAAAAAAAGGTACATACACAGAAGTCTTTATAAACAGGAGTCTCTAGTTCAGGATTTTTAAAGACACAGGAGAGGCCTGAGGAGGTTGGGGTGAAGAGTGCTTTTTTCCCCTAGAGATCTTTCTCAAAGAGAAAACATGCTTTTGGTTTTAATACCATTAAATAAGGTTGTAGCAAAGATGAAAGAAAAGAAGGAAAATTTTTAGCTTGAGGTGTCAATACAAAAACACAGACCAGAAATTTACATCTCCTTTCCTTCCCCAACTACCCAAACACTGACTTAACAATATAAGAGGAATTTCTTTAGCCCTAGGTGAAAAGAAAGAGGGATGTGGGAATCCAAGTCGTCTTCTAGACCCTTTTAACCCTGAACAAGTCACTTTATTGTAAGGACCCCAAGAATCAATTCCCTTCAATCTAGCAATTGTTCAGGCTGCGGCGGGCCTTGTGCCTAGATTATAATGTTTTCATTTAGTTCTATGCCACCCACTGATTTTGCCTGTACTTCTTGGAAGAATGGCGTGGCAAAACCTAAAAGATATTCTTGAAGAACGGAGCCCAGTGTTGGGGGTTTCAACATTTGGCCTTTTGTGTCAGCAGCGCAAGGACCGCCCGCGTGAGACCCCGGGGAGGGGGTGGGGTGGGCGATGAAAAGGCACCCTTTGCAGGGGACACAGGCACAATTCAGGCTTCGCCAATACAGCCCGGGCTGGAATGTGCTCTGTGGGGCGAGGTGGGCGGAATCCTCCGAGAACTGCATTCTTGAAAGAGAACCTACCTGGGTTGAAATAAAAAATAATATTTAATAAGTCCTGGTCTCCCCACGTGATGGCGTTCTTGTACTTCTGGTACAGAGGGTATAGCATGTCCTCCCAAGCCAAGCCTGTTGGAATCATGCTGTTCTGGAAAAGAGAAAACCATCAGAGCGGCTAAAGCACGGCAAATACATCTCACCCGCTGAGAATCAATGTACAGGGACGGGTTCTCCCCTTCACCGCCCCGCTCCCCAGAATGAAAATGAAATCAGCAGAGGAGGGGACCTGTTGGCCTCAAGGCATAGGACAAAGCAGAACTAGGGCTGACGATTACAGGTGTACACATGGATGGTAGATGGACCAGAAACTGGCAGTTGGGCCTATGGCTTCTGCTCAGAAAATCACGCCCCATGTGGCGGAGGCATAAATCAGGAGCTTGGGATGAACATACACACACTAGTGTATATAAGATAGATAACCAACAAAGACCTACTGCAGACCACAGGGAACTCTACTCGGTATTCTGTTAATGGCCTATATGGGAAAAGAATCTGAAAAAGAGTGGATATACATATATGTATAACTGATTCACTTTGCTGTACATCTGAAGCTAACACAACAGAGTAAATCAGCTACACTCCAATAGAAATTTTTTTTAAAAATTATTTACTTTTAAGACAAAAGCAACATATTCAGACTAAATATTCAACCAGCACACAAAGATGTAAAAAGTAAAAATATTTTTCCTCCTGCCTCCTGCAATTCCCACTCCCACTTTCCCTAGACGTATCCACAATTAATGAACAGTCTCTTAGATATTCTTCTGGAAGTTTCTAAGGCATAAAAGGGATCACCTCTATGGCATCATGCTCTGTTGCATTTTAATTTTTTCACTTAATATTTTTTACAGCTCTTATCTCACTTATAGATTTGATCTAATTCTTTTCAATGGAGGATAATTTTTTTGACTTGTTCTCTACTGATGTTCACTTAGGTTCTTCCAGTTTTTTGCTAGGACAAAAGACAAGGCCATGAACAGCCTTGTACGTTTATCTCTGTACATTTACATAAATATATCCCTAGGGTAACTCCAAAAAGTTTTCCAGGGTTTTTGAAGCCTGGGATACACAGAGTGTTTAAACATGGAATTCAGAAATGCAACATAATATTCCCCAATAGTAACTCTGCTGAACAGTTTAAATTCCATAATCACCTGGAATTCTCGTAAGCCAACAAATATTCCATAACTCTCCAAATACTTTTCTCTTCCCTGGCTTCTTCCATTCTCACCTGCAAGCCAGCTACTTCCAAAATCAATACACTGACACTCCTGGAACGTCACCGTTGAGGAGACAAAATCCCGACATTTAAACAAGGAAATATAACATACTTCCTTACCTTGAACTGAGCACTTCTTATTCGAGTTAAGTTCATCAGCATGACTCCTGAGTTAACTCCCGCAGAGCCATAGAAAGGGTGCCGAGCAAAGCGGCTGTACCAGCCGATCTTGGGGATTTCATGCTCGGGGGCCATGGCCGCAAGCTGCGTGGAATTAAATTGCCTCAGAAGCTTCCAGATGTCATCAACAGGTCTCAGAAAGAGAACATCGGTGTCCACGTAGAGAAGGGAGTCCACATCCTTTAAAATCACCTTTGTGTGTATTGGGTGAGGAGGGAGAAAACAAGAAACAAAGGAAGCGGCCTGATAAGTCAACACTGCCAATGATTTTGTTGATTAATGTTAATGCTAGAAAGGGTCCCACTCTTAGCTTCCATTCCTCCCTTCTCCTTGGACTTCAGGGATAAGGGTCAGTCAAAGGGTAGAGACTCAAAGGAAGATCCATCTTGATCCAGATTGGTCCAATTCCAGGATCCTGGATTACATCTGGTAAGGGCTGAACGTCGCAAGGAATGAAAACATTAGCAAATGACTGTGGCTTTCTTCTCCTCCATCCTCCAATAAGGCCATCTGTCTTTCTCAGTTTTTTCTTGGAAAAGCTAGGGCTAGCATTAGACTACTTGAAGTGGACAATCCGTAGATTGGCTCATGCCAAGCTTTAGGGTAAATACTCTGTTTCTGGATCCATTTCTTTTAGTGTTGATGGACATGGCTCTGCATCTTTTTGAAATAGTATTTTCAGCTAAGATTTAGACTTGGAAACAGGCAAAACAAGTCATTGGCCAGCTTTGTCTGCAAGGATTGGTGAACGTCTTTTTCTAAAGGGCCAGAGAGTAAATATTTTAGGCTCTGTTGTAGCTACTAAACTGCTGTTAGCATAAAAGCAGCCAAGGACAATATATAAACAAATGAGCATGGGTGTTTCCAATAGAACTATTTAGAGACAATAAAATTGGAACTTCGTTTAATCTTCAGATGTCACAAAGCCTTCTTCTTTTGATTTTTTTTCAACCATCTGAAATGTAAAAGCCATTCTTGACTCAAAGGCTGTGGTCTGTCAACCTCTGTTGTAGATCGTTCAAGTCAGCCACCTTAAGTAAATAAGTTTTGCTATGCTAGATGCTTAGTCTACCAGAATTTTGCCCTGGGGTTTGAGACTTTAAAGTCATAGTTAGTAATAGAGTTCTTTGCCTTGTTTTGCCATTGTTCCCCCAATTTAGAGGTAGCTTAACCAAAGAAGGATCATCCTCCTAAAACTACAACAACACTTGTTATGGACTGAATGTGTCTTTACAAAATGCATATGTTGAAGCCCTAACTCCCCAATGTGAGGGTATTTGGAGATGGGGTCTTTGGAAAGTAATTAGGGTTAGATGAGGTCCTGACGGTGGAACCCTCAAGATGGGATTCATGTCCTCATTAAAAGAGACACCAGACAGCTTGCTCTCTTTCTCTCTCTCTCTCTCTCTGCTACATTAGAACATAGTGAGAAGGCAGCAGTCTGCATGCCAGGGAGAGTGTCCTCACCAGAACCCAACCATGTCAGCACCAATCTCAGACTTCTAGCCTCCAGAACTATAAGAAAATAAATTTCTGTGGTTTAAGCCATCCAGTTACGGTATTTCGTTATGGCAAGTTAAGACACCACTCCATTGAGATCCTAATATTTGAAACTGATGAACACGGGCACTGTATGGTACAGGCATCATGGAGATTTCAGTCTTGAATAATTTCAAAACTTACATGATTAACTGCAGGATTTATCTTTCCTTCCTCATCTACTAGAGGAATAGAATTGACAAATCAATAAAATGAAATAAAAAAAATAATGATCATCTACCATGTCATAAAAGAAGACATCCGTCTTAACAGTTTAAAGATCCTAATTCCAGAATTAGGATGAATTCTTTAAAATGAATACACAAACTTAAACAAACATCTACCACACTATACTTATTTTTTCTTATTTAACCATGGACAGGTAAAAACTTTGCCACAGATTAGCACTAGCCTGCTGAGTTGTTTTTTTTTTTAAATCACAACTCCAGAGTACTGTGGAAGAAGGGCAAACTCTCTACAAAAGTAATAATAAATCATACAATCATGATACAAGTTACTTATCACATGTAAATACAATTTTGATGTTCAAGACCACCCAAAGAACTCAACATCCTGCCAATCCTATTTTACTGGGAAGGAAAACTAATGCACAGAAAAGTGTTCTGTCCAAGTTAATGTGTCAAATAATGCTAACAATTGCTGGATTTGGAGCTAATAAAGTTGCAACACGGTAAAGTCACTTTCTAGAATGTGTTTAAGGAAATGAGAGACTGCACAGTGTTTCACTAAAAAGCTAATTTAGAATTAGAGAATCAGAGGACGAGAAAGCTATTTCAACCCATGTGAAAGAGAACAGATTTCTCTTTATGGCTGATTATCTAATAAGGCCTAAATAAAACTGTATTAATATTAATGTTTTAATCAATTAAGGGTTATGCAGACATCTAGTCCCTAAATTCAAGCTCACTGACTTGATTAATTTTTTTCTCAGTCTTAAATCAATACTATTGTTAAAGTTATCATCACTTTCTTCAATAAAATAAAAGTGTTACCATCTTTCATCAAAACAAAAAAGAAAACAAAAAGACTTGAAAAAAGGTTTGGAAAAGGAAAACTAAAAAACCCTTCAGGATGGAGGCATTCCATCGTGAAATAATAAGCAAGATAAATATATTGATTATACAGTATAGAAGCTGGTTAAAAATAAGGCAGGGAGAGGGGCGGGGGTCCCAGGTAGGAAGGGGCTTGCAATTTTAATTAGGGATATTGGGAAGGACTCACTGAGAAGAAAGAGGGCAAGTACAAATAGCGGAGGCTGGACCACTCTTAGAACAGCAGGGAGCCAGGGCGGCTGGACCACAGTGGGCAACAAAGAGCCAGGGATGAGGATGGAGCAGAGCGGGGGCTGAGCGGGGGCCGGTCACTTCACTTAGGGCTTTGTTTGCCTTTGAAAGAACTTGTTCTTTCACTGTCAGTGAGATGGAAGCCATTGAAGGGCTTTTACCAGAGGAGTGCCATGGTCTGACTTAGATTAAGGATCACTTTGGATGCTACACGGAGAAAAGACAATTAGGGCACACAGGGGAAGCGGGGAGACCAGTTAGGATGCTATTTTAATAATTCCAGTGAGATGCGATGGCGGCTTGGCTCAGGTGGTAACAACCCAGGGAGTGAGAAGTGGCTGAATCCATAACACAGTTTGAAATGGAGCCAACAGGATTTCCGCAACAGATTGGATGTGGAATGTGAGACTAAGAGAAAAGTCAAGGGCAACTCCATGGATTTTAACCTGAGCAACAGGTATGATGGAATCGCCTTTAACTGAGATTGCACCTGATGTGTGTCACTCCCGAAGTACCTGCCTGGCCCTGGCACATATGTACTGGAGTTGGCAGATGCTAAAGCCTCGCTCCCTCCCTCCTCCTCTGCATCTGCCCTTCCTGAAATATAAAGAAAATTGTAGTGGTCCTAGGAAGGGATGCATTGATGGCGGATTTCTGGGGTGATGGTCGTTTCTCTAGTTCTTGAGCACAGTAGTGGTTACAGAGGTGTGAGTGTGGTAAATTAAGCATAAAGTGTTTTGGTGGGCTCTTTGTGGTAGGTAGATCATATTTCAAAACTGACACACAAAAGTAGCCCTAATGGTACATCTCACAGACGGAATGGAAGATAGTCCTTAGGAATACTGAGTCTGGCATTCCTGAGTTCAAATCCTGGCATCATGTGCCCTGTGACTCTGGACAAGTTCCTCAGTTCCCCATGCATAAAAAGTGGAAAGCAAGACCTCCACCACATCCCCTGTCTTTGGGTTGTCACTAACATCCAGTGAAATAAAACACACACAGGGAACTCGGTACAGTGGCTGGTACGTAGTAAGTACTCAGTAAATAGCGGTGTTGCTACTATAAGAAGTCTCCGTGTTTTTTCTTTTAAAACTCAAGTGTAATTAGTTACCATGCACATCAATGCTCACAGCACTTCAAAGCATGTGTCGACCACAAAGTGTCTTTTATATAAACAAAGTTAAGCTGAGAAAAGTTGAAGTTTTCGAACATTTCTAATATCATAATCCACATATTACCTCGACTGAAAACAAGAGCACCAGGGCTTTTTACTCTATCTGAAAAAATAAAAGACCAGGAGAAAAACTCCACTCTTCTTATAACATTGCGTCTCTGGAGGCTATTTCTGCAGCAATTATTGGTGGTATTAATTTGAAGAGGATCACTGTGGCCACTTTATAATGGGCAGAGGAATATTTACCGAAAGGATATAAAATTAGCCATTCTAATTCCCTTATGGAAATTAGCACTAGAAATGAGGCCTCTGTTTTCTTAGAGAAGAGCAAATAGAGGACAGACAATAGCTATTTGTATACAATGCTGCTCTGGCTCCCTTCACCACCCCAACCTGGGCAGCTGCCTCTGGCCACCCGCAACAAGATTATCAGGGGCCACCGGCACTCCTTCAAGTTCATTTTGCTGCAACCTTGTTCTAACTTTGACAGTACAACTTTGTGGTTGAAAGTTCGGGGTTTGAAATCTAACCATTTGTGTTTGGATTCTGTTTCTACTACAAACGGCGGTCTTGGGCAAGCTGCTTTAAGCCTTCTAAGCCTTAGTTTCCTTATCTTTTTTTTGGCCGTGCTGTGCGGCATGCAGAATCTTAGTTCCCCGACCAGGGATCGAACGCGTGCCACCTGCAGTGGAAGCACGGAGTCTTAACCACTGGACCACCAGGGAACTCCCTGTTTCCTCATCTTGTAGATGGGATTGGTCACTCACTTCAGAGTGCTTCCGGGATGATTAAAAGAGGTAATGCATGTGAAGCCCCTGACATACACACAGTAAGGACTCAGCAAATCCTATGTGACATTCTTATGGGCTCACTCTCAGGATGGCTAGTTCCTTGATCCCTAGCCCAGTAACTGGCTGCAGTAGTGGTGGTAGTAAAAGAATGAGGCATGTGCTCTGTTCTCAAAGAGCTTTAGTGGGGGAGACAGATAAGAGGCAAAGCAAAATAAGATGTGGCTAATGGTAGGAGTAGCACAGAAGCACTTGGCAGGGCTACTAAACCATTCTGGATTGAAAAAAATGACAGAAGTGACAACTAAGCTGAGAGATAGGCAAGTGAAGAGCAGGGCAAAGAGTACTGAAGATAGGGCTTCCCTGGTGGCACAGTGGTTGAGAGTC